TTTGCTATGATTTCCTTTGTTATATTTGTTTTGCAAAACATTTAATTTTTTGTTAAAAACAGAAGATTGTAGTACAATGTTATTGTGGATTTTGTTTTGTGAATGAAGAGCACTTTTTGGCAGAAGTGAATGTTACATTTTGTTTGTTTAAAGACACCATTGTTGCTATTTATTTGAAATGTTTTGTTAACTTTTCCTTAATTTTATATATGTTTGCACATTTCATTTCTTGTTAAATGCTATCTCTATTGTATTGATTGTACGACCTCTACAACTTTATTTTGCAAATTTTTTTTTATTAAAAGGTCTTCAAATGAATAAATTTGTGTTTTTCATTTATATACATAAATTAATAAATGTGAAATTGCTATACAAGTCAAATAATGGATAATAATGGGGAAAAAAATCGTTAATCGAATCGAAATCGAATCGGATTGAAAAATGAATCGTTAGATTAATCGATGCATCGAAAAATTTATCGCTAGATTCATCGATTAGGAAAATAATCGTTTTGCCCAGCCCTACTTCTCAGGTGACAGAGAGTGGAGAGAGTTTACGGACGAGAAGCAACAAAGAGCCGTCAGGTGCTCCAAACCAACCTCAGACTCAAACGCTACAACGGGCGTTTCCCCGCAGCATGCCGTGTAGAAAGACTCACAAAGAAAATGGCAGCCGTTACAACTTCTATCTAAAAATAGATGGTTTCATGCATCGGTCAGAACACTCCGCTGAAAACACCTCACACGGGTCGAGTTACAGAAAAAGCACATTTAGTGACAGATGAGGTTATCAGGAGATAACCGGGTCATATCGCACGGCCCTTGATCTGATGTGGTTTCTGGGTTGAAGCCATGGGTATAGTTGATCACACGGCACAGCACACCTGTCCTGTGCTCTGAGTGGATAAAGGGAGCCAATAACCCGAGGTTATTCTGTCATCACGGCTCGGTTATTGACAGGTCTCTTGATTCAACTTATTTATATAATCACAGCAACAGTCGCCTGAAAGCAATTTACGCTGTGAGGTAAAGAGCAGTACAGAGAAAACTCTGTGAGCAGGCTGACGGTGGGAAACAGGAAGAAACGTGCCTAACGATAAGTTCCGCCTGGCTTCACAAAAGTGGATTTTACAAACTGGAGACTCTGACTGCGCTCGGGCATTTCTGGAGAACCGCCTCCTGTCCTAAATCCTTGATGTCATCCAAGAACCGGAGTCACATCCATGATTCAAACGCTGAGCTGTGCTGTGGACGATGAGGAAAAACAAAGGAGCGCCATGACGACGTGACGCATCAGGTCCACTGACCCAAGGAAGAGGAGCGCCATGTTTGGTGAGGAGCAGGCCGGTGGATTCTGTGATCCTGCACAGACCACAGATGGACCTGCGAGCAGCTCCGGGACCACTGAGGCGAGGAAGAACGAGTGCTGGGAACACGCAGATGCACGATGAAGTCAGTGCCATCAATACTCTAGGAGGCGTGAGCTGAAACGGTGCGTTCTATTACTCAGGTAACGGCACCTGTGCGGCGATTAACCCTCGGTGTTCACACCTGCTCGGCAACAATCACAAGGAACCGGGACAACGAGTATCGATCACAGTACTGACGAATACTGGTGTCGAGAGGTAGTACTGACTTACATCCTTACACCTGTCCAGGTGTGCGGTGCAGCCGGTCGGCAGCTGTGCTTTTCACTAGACCGTCTGCTGCTTGGTCACATGTCCAGCACTTACACGACATCATGTCCTGTCACATGATGCAGCCTGAGGGATCATGTGACCTCTGTGAGCGCGATCAACGGATGGCACGTGTCACCAAACACGAACACACACAGGATGTGAGTCTGAGGAACGGTCAGGGGTCAAAGGTCAGGGGTCAAAGGTCAAATATCAGGGATCGGGTTGAGGATTAAAACGCCAACAGCGTGGCGTTTTGTTTTTTTTCCCAGACAGCACCTCGTTACGTCATCGCAGCCGCCGATCCCACCTCGGCCTCACAGTGATGTCATCATCAGGAACTCATGTGATTGGCTGTTCAGCTGCTTCCAGCTGACTTCTGACGCAAACATCAAAACTTTATTTAAATGGTAAAAATAACAGTAAACACAGAAAGAACCTGGTGTGCATTATCATTAGCGTGCGTCCGTCTCACCTCGACGTCCTGGCACGTGCGCGGCTGAGCCTGACACAGCATACTGAGCAGCTGCAGGATCAGCTCCTCCACGTACTGCAGCGCCTCCTGCTGGGACACCAGGTTAGGATGCACCTGGTTCAGTACCTGAACACACACACACAGATCAGTCATAGCGTCACTGACAGCTCGTGGCTTCCTGACAGTTACTAATAAATGTGCCGGGCAGCTCATGAATGCGACGTTTACAAATGTCTCAGCGTTTACAGATTTTAGATATTTAAGTTTGGAAGGACGAGACATTTGAAATCAGGAATTCAGGTCATAAATGCAGAAGAAGCTGCTGAATGTGATTGGAACTGGACATTATTATTACCTTCCAACATAAAGCGCCGTCGTTGTCATTTCGTGCTTTATAAATAAAACTGAAATCCTCACTGCACAGTTTTGCACAAACTGTAAATACCAAACGTTAATATTTAATACTTTGGTATTTTTATATTATTATTATTATTATTATTATTATTATTATTATTATTATTATTATTTTCCTTCTTTGATTTAGCTGTACACTTTCTAATGTTCATGTAAAGCTGAGGAAGAATTTCATTACAGTTAAATGTTCCAATACTGTTTCTCTGTATAAGACAATAAAACTTGAATCCACGATTGTAAACGTGATCCACTCAGGATCTGCAACTCGGACAGTTTGCTGATCTGTTCCGGAGCACATGCTCCCGTTCTGGGTCGAGCCGCTGAAAACGATTCAGGTGATTGTCAGTGGAAAACCTGCCGACGCTCCGAAGCCTCAAAATGCTGTCTAAATGACTGAGCTTCAATCTGTGAATGCATTTCAAAATGAAATGTAATCAGATTACAATCACACTGTCTGCTAGAGCAGGGCGATATGACCAAAAATATTTATCACGATATACATTTGAAAATTTGCAATAACGATATAACTGACTAGTGCTGGGCCTTATTATACCGTTCACGGTAACACCGGTGTAATGTTGGGCGACGATAAGAAAATGACATATCGAGATAGAATATGGGTAAAACGCGCATGCGCAGTGCCGTTGTTTTCATGCGCACATGGCGGCGAAGGAGAACGAGAAGGGCGAAAGCGGATCGGAAACGGATGAACCAGAACTGGTTTGTAAAATGCTGCAGCTTCAGTGGTGTGGAACTGGTTTAGCTTTTGTCCGTCAGATACACAACAAAGCACTATTTTTGGTAGAGCATGCTAGCTGGCCGTCGTTATTACGGTGTTTTTTGGAAAATACGGCGCACTTAAAATCAACCCTTTGAGTTTCTGAAAAGCGACAGAGCCCCTTATAATCCCGTGCGCCTTATGTATGAACTCTGGTTGTGTTTACTGACCTGGAAACTATTTTATGTGCACGGCGCTCGAACATCTGTCAGATGTTTCAGTACGACTTTGCTAAGCTACGAAGCCGCACCGCTTGATGGATTGTCGGAGCATTACGGCTATCGTAGGCGGAGCCTCGCCGAGTGATACGTACTGTGCTTCAACATAATGTTACCGTATTGTGTGTGTATGACCTCTTTTTAAGTTTTGTGGATGTTATACTTGGTTACTCTGAGGATACGTCGGCCAGTTTCCACTGAAATGCTTTTTGGTTTAACTGTCAGCGAGGAATTTGCACTGTTACATTTTTATATAACTTTAACGCACATAAAACAGCTGCTTGTTTAAGTGAAAATACATTGATGGGTTTTTTTGCACTAATACAGTTGTAAATGGCCCTAAGGACCCCAAAGCGCTTTACACACACACATCCACACACTGGTGATGGCAGCTACATTGTAGCCACAGCAAATTTTCAAATGTATATCGTGATTAATATTTTTGGTGAATGTGTAACCCATGTCAACTCCCTGTCACATGACCCACGTCAGCTGATTTGAGGTCCCTCTTCTGATTGGCTCCTTCGACGTCGCGGCAACTCTGAAAACTGGCTGTGGAGGGATACTTCCGGGTTCGACTCCTGCTGTGGCTGTGAGCTTATGGCATTTAGAACGGTGTTGGAAAACAAAGCGTTTTCTCCCCTCAATTCATTTATAAACTCATTTCACCTCAGCGGTAAGTGTCCTTAGTATCTTTCAACCTTTGGTTGTCAGTAACCAGCCGATCGTTTTCGCGATTAAAAAAATGACTTTGTGCGGCAGCGTTCCCAC